TCAAGATATCCTGAAATTTGGAAGGGGTATATTATGAGGACCAAAGAAAGCAAACTGAAAGTGGTAAAATTGTATTTAAGATTTCACCATGAAAGTCCACATACAAGCACCTTGCTGATCCAGTTCAGTGGGGTTTGATCCAACTTTGTTTCCAAGATTTAAGTATTCTCTGACAAGACTTAACCATGCAACTCTGAAATTAGTTCTTGCTACATTTATATACTAAAGCTCATTAATCAGACGTGTTGGAACATCAGACAGGCTGATGTGGGCAAAAGCAGACATATCTGTTATGATTTGAATAGCTACTGTGGTCTGAAGAAAATAAGTCTTGCAAATACTATTTGGGTTATTCTATCAGACACTGGAGATTTTTTTTGTTGGATGAGCCATAAGAGCTGCAAAGTGTTTGCCAAAACACAGACCAAGGTTATCTAGCCAACAAAGAGTCTCTTCTCATATGGTGGAAGCCATGAAGCTTTTCAGTATTACACAAAATGATGCCTCTTAAAAGTTCACAGTCACTATAATTTGACAGCAAATAGGCCCTTCCCAAGACAGAATCCACTACTGGTTTAAACTGACACACTCATTTACTAGGAGACTTGACAAGATAAACAGAAGCAAGTTTCTCACATTTTTCGTATTTGATGCCTCAGATGATCTCTTCAAAGTATACCAGAGTACAAAAACATATGGATGACTACTCTGCAACTACAGAAGAAGCATTTCAGAAACATGCTTGCAACTTTTGAGATTGAAATGCTCAACACTAATAGCAGCAATTGTCTACTGCAAAACCTCAGGGATAGTGAAGGTTGGACCCAGTATGAACATTCTTCCTCCCCTTTAGTAACAGCTCAGCCACACCTAGCAGATCACAAATCTGACAATTTCTAAAGAGGCACCTCCCAAGTTCAGTCCTATGACTGGGTGTCCACATGATTTATTACATAAGGGATAACTTTGTACTATACTACACCAGATACATTATTCAGCTTCAGCATGCAGAAAAAATCCCCACGTGGTCCCCTACAGATAAACATCAACATAAGTGTTTACCAATACCACAGCTACTCAGCCTTCAGGGCATTCATGAACTTCTGACAAAATACAGTACGAAATGGCAGCATACTGTACTTCTATATATGTTCCAATGAAGCTATTAACATCCACCAGCCATTCAGGTTGCATCAGCTTGCTCTAACATTTGTCAATAATTGCATTAAACAGAACAGACAGGAACTTGAATACAAAAAAGTTTGTACTTCTTAGAAGTCCTGAAAAAAAACCAGTGGTCTTCATACTCGGTTGCCATGTACATGCTTTGTGGCTGATATATACCTGCAGCACTTGATCACAGGTAAGGCAATGCTGATTCAACACTTTCAGGATGACCAGATTTATATCCATTAACCATGTACATCTATCTCTGCCTCCCCACTCAGTTCAGACTTGACCTCTTCTATGATCTTCCACTTTCTCTTAAGACAGAGAGAGCGATTCTTATTAACCAATCTGGAACATTATCTGTGCTGCAAAACATCTTTAAAGGAATATTAACATATTAGCATCCATTTTACTTAACCATCCAGTATTTCTAATGTGCTTGCAA